TAGCGGGAATTCTCTTAAAATTGGGAACTTATGGTTTTTTAAGATTTTCAATACCAATGTTTCCAGAAGCTACTCTTTATTTCACTCCTTTCATTTATACTCTTAGTGTGATTGCTATAATATATACTTCCTTAACTACATTAAGACAAATCGATCTGAAAAAGATCATTGCATATTCTTCAGTAGGAATGAAAGGAGTGAAATAAAGAGTAGCTTCTGGAAACATTGGTATTGAAAATCTTAAAAAACCATAAGTTCCCAATTTTAAGAGAATTCCCGCTAAGATAACAGATCCAGCGGTGGGTGCTTCTACTATTCTAATATGTATTTACCTAAATGACGCTTTAAATCTTCATTAACCACTTTCTCCCACTTCGTGGCCTCTGGTGACACAACCGCCGCGAAGCGTTCATCTTTCCCACCCACCCCAGGGTGGGGTGGTGTCGGCTCCATTCTTTTCTTGGAGCTGATAAGAAACCCGAGAAAAGCCGGCCCGTGGGAGCCTTTAGCTCGTCGAGTTATGAGCGTCTTTGAAAAGAAGGGCCGAAGGCTAAGCCTTACTTCGATAAATCGTGCCATTTTATTCTCATTTCTTCCCAATATGGACCGTTTGTTTCAAAATGATTTTGAAGATGGTACACTCAAATTGTATTGTTTAAGTGGACCATCCACTCGTTTACAAAAGATTTTAATTTCACAATTACTAAGTCACTGGTTACTCAAAATCATGGCTATTCTGTTGAGTTTTCCTGTTTTACAATTGCTATATCATTTTCAATATTCAACAGTCAATTGTTTGACTATAGTAGTAGGAAGTCTAGTGACCCACATCGATAGGCTGAAGGCGCCCGTATCTATTAACTGAGTTAACTCAATGATACTACTTCGCTGCCTAACCTCTGCGCTCCTGTCCTTATCTGAAGACGTTGATATCGAAGAGATCTTGTGGCACCCACCACTACGTGGGCACCTAAGAGTAAATACTGGCAGTGGTTAATGTAGCCAGTCAAAGGCTACTAAAACACCAGATACAAAAACTACCCATGCTAATGATAAAGGCAAAAAAAGAAAAAAGAAAAAAGAGTCCGCGCAATCCTGTGCAAAGCTACAGAGACATTAAGCCTCTACTGGCCCCAGAAGCAATTTGCCGAGGACCGAATCTAAACTTGCGAACTCCATGCCCACCAGTGCAGGAGGCCCAGCCAAGTCAGACGCAAAGTATACCTATAACACCCTTCTATTCTATAGCAGCACTGGCAGGAACGAGCGTTGGAGGTACTGCTAGTCTAATACCGAGCAGGTATTGGCGAAGGTTCAGATGAGGTTTCAGCAGTTAGTTTGGTATTAAAGCGTACAAGTTTCATACAGAATGCTGATGGGAAACTGTGTAATGGAAGACTGACCTATTTTATTTCTGTAGGGACAGAGATTATTCACTCACCTCTCACCTCTACCTGTCTCAGGTTTCACTTTGACTTGAACCACTGGTCCATCGGAAATTACTGATCATCTGTTTTCGTCATGGCAACTGAGGCCCAGACATTTGTCTGGACTGGTCCAGACGTCTGGTAATCCGGACAGGCACCAGACAACCGGACAGGACCGGACCCAGACCGTCTGGACTGGTACACCAGACACAAAAATGTCCGGATAGGGGAAAAAAAAAAAAAAAGGTACTTGCGGCGCATGTCGTGCGCGGCGCACGTGCGCTGCATCACGGAGCGCGCGCACGACGTGCGCCGCATGGCTTAAATTAAACCACTAGTACCTCCGCCAGTGTTGGGAAATTAGGGAAAAGTGGCTGTTTTCCCAAACTCATGAAAATTCGGAGGCCTGGCCCGACGACGGCTGCCATTGATAAATCTGATTGGCGGCGGTTGTTTCGTTTCGGCCATCTGAAAGGTTGGAGGCCCACCCGAGGCCCGCTATTTTCCCACGCGGCACAGGTACTAGTGGTTTAAGGGTAGACAAAAAAAAATAAAAAAATTGGAGGGCGGGGTGCAAATGAGAGGGGGGGTTGTCCAACGTTTTTTTCCCACGTTTTTTTTGGGGCTGCACCAAGCCTGGAATTTTTTTCGGTCCCAACGTTCGAATTCGAACGCTGGGTGAGATGATCTCCCGCCCAGGCCGCCAGACATTTCACTTGTGTCCTCCACCTCGTCCTCGCGCCGCCGTCGTCATCGAACACTCGAAGACCCTTGGCCATCTTCACGCCTCAGCTGTCTTCACTGAAGTCCTCCGTCGGCCATCCTCCATAGCCGGGCAGCAGCGTGAGGCCAGCCATGGGGTTGGAGGCTTGCCAGTTCTCCGGTGTGTTGCTCATCCTGTTGATGGAAAACTCTCTCTCTCTCTCTCTCTCTCT